TTGCAATATTTGGGGCATCCACCGAAGCTCATAAGGTACCAAGAGACCCTGGTGGGGTGTTTTTCGGGAGGACCACGTGGGCTACGTGGGCTTTCCCGGCTGGGACATGGTGGGCATGCCTTGGGCCACCAAAGGCGCGGCCGGCGAGCCACGTTTTTTGTTTTGTTTTTCCTTTCGGCCGCATCCGGAGCGAGGCTAGGTCCCCCAGCAGCGCCCTTTTACCCTTTATTGGGGGAGGGTTCTTCTACTGAAATAGACTACAGAAAAAGGGTACCCTTATTCTGTCCTGTCTATGGGAGGACCTAGCCAAGACACCCAACTATAAACCCTAACCTAAAGCCCGAGGGGACGGCTGCGAAGCGCCAAGTATCATGTTGGTATTTGGGGGTTGGCCAATATTCCGTGAAAGGCCTCCAAATTTTTCCATGGGTAGCTTTTGCCATTTCGCGGACATCCCATGTTCAGGGGACCTTTTGATCAATTTCCACATTGTCAGAACTCGTTTTGCATTTTTACACTTGGCAAGGGCACGTCATTGCTGCATGTCCTCAATGTCATCGCCCTGCAACGCCGTTTTTTTTCAGCCTTTGTGCAACTCATGGAGCATGCAGCTGGCTTTGAGTGTGTGATGCGAGCCAGGGTTCAAGGGTCTGCAACGTCTTGAACAGCAAACTGCGTTTGGGTGGAACTAGAGTTGCCTGCTAGAGTGCTCAGATAGGCTTCATTGCTGCGCTTGGACATGCGTGGTAGGTTGTGTTTGCGTGCATCGCGCGGTTAGGGCGTTCTTTGAGGACTTGCGCCCATTGCCCGGGCGCGGCAAAGCTAGGTTCATTGATTCGGGCTTGAGATGCGAGCGATGGCACCGATAGCGCCGATAATACTGTGGATGGACGATTTCCTGCGCCACTTTGAAGCCATGGGAAACCATTGTTTGTTGGTATTTGCAGGGAGTCGTCATTTCAGGGCTTCTTAGGTGGTGCCTAAGAGGATTGCGACCATCCGCGGTATGCCCTCATTGCCCTTCAAGGCTTGGCAGCGGATGACGACTTACTTCATGGAACATGCGCTCTGACAATTTGATTGATGTTTTCTTTGGTGCATTTTGCCAAGGGATGTTAGGACTTTAACTTTTTGCCAACTAGAATTGGTTTTCCATTAAAACACTAAAAGTTAAACTTTTAGCAGGGGAGCAGAAAGCAACCGAGCTTTATTCGGCCATGTGTAGCAGGCGAGGATGTTTAACCCGTGGTTGCAATCGTCATAATCCCTTCATTTTTCTTGTACTGTATCATGTTTTACCCAGACCCCGGTTAAATATGGACCCCAGTGCTCTTAATTCACCCAATGCTATACTTGGTGGCTCCCAGCCATCCCCTTAGCTAGCTTTTTAGGGCTTTGCGGGGGTTCCATTTCGCCCACCAAAAGCTAAACTTTTAGCGGATCTGAAAACGGACAGCCCAGCATACTAATGACTAAACTGCTGACCGCCTGGCCTTGCTTTAGGTGACATGTTTGGGACTGTTCCAAGTTCCTCCAACTCATCTGAGCCACAATCAAAACCCGGCTAGTTGGAGAGTAGTAAGGGGCAATCCCAGCCACAAATGGTTGCGGCCGCCTTCTCAATTACATGATTCTGGGATTACGACCCATTTTAATACCGGCTTTTGATTATGGCTCATCTAGTCCAAGAGCCACTCCAATCTTGGTTAACAGCATCCAAAGCAACTTGCCCTGTCAACTCGACGATTTGGGATTAATGACATAGTGCGAGTCACCAAGCTAGTCTACCTGGTTTGCCTCCCCTCAGGGTATATTAAGTATTGTCCCAGGTTTCACCCCAAACAGCTGCCAAGCATCCGGGCCCCGGGCGGATCCAGCTGATAATATGCGTATTTTCGGAAATGAATGTGTTATCAGAGCGGGGCGTAGTTAAGATTTGGGGAAGCGTTTTTTCAACTTACCGGATGTGTGTTGGAAACTCGAATGCTATCCTCAAAGGCTGTAGGAATGATACTGACTGAATACTAAATACGCCTCGGCTGAAGCTTTCACTTCCTTTTGATGTTTGACGCGGACGCCCCATGTGGCACCAATGATCAAACTCATTCGGCATGCCTACGCGAGTTGCTTTCAGCCAGCGAAATGAACCAGATTGCCTCATTTGGGCGCGTTTCTTTGTCCTGCTTGCGAATCTCCACCTTGCTTGGCTTCTCGAGTCGAGCAGCAGGTTTGCGCCGGCTCACGAAGCGGAACATCCTAATTGCCCAGGGTTTCGCGCGCTCGCGGGTGGCGATCAAGGCGACAGCTCGAGGCCTAACTAGCAACTCAGCTCGCGGCCGACCGCGCGGGCAACTGGTCGCTCCAGTCGCTCGCATCCACGCGTTTGCCAAGGTAACAACAACTACAAGGCCTACAGCCACCTCATGGGCCCGAAGGACTTCCAGAAGCCTGAGAGCTTCGTGCCGTGGCCAAAACGCCCCCCCCCCAGACTTGTTCTCAGCCCACGTGAGTCGCTAGCTCACAGCCCGCAGCACAGGGTGGTGCTGCAAAACAGCGCAATCGAAGCGCAAGCCCGCAATGCATTCACCAGTCAAAATTTGATTCCCATAATTAATCACGCGACCATACAGCAGCAGAATAGCCATGCACTGAGCTCTCGTTGCGAAACAGCTTCAGCGTGTTCCTCTAAATGACGTTGGGGTTTCTGTTCAATGCAAACTGCAAACCAGTTCAACAATTTTCCAAGGCTTTCTGGATGCTTCTAAGTTTCATTTGCTCCACGGTTCGCAGTCGCCTTCTCAATGCTGAGCAAGTTTGGTTCGATCAGCTGCGCCCTTCAACAAATCAAATTCACAGTCAGTATATTTGTCGTCTACTGTGCTGCGGTAAACGGTATGACACCCCGATCAGTACAACTTCCTACTGGTAAGAGGTTTCTCAAGATATTGCCATGCTGGTTCGAGGCCTCAGTGCACATTAGCCGTGCTTATGTCGTCGTTCAACGGTTTCATGCACGTCACACACAGGCTTTTCCATGGAGGCCTCGTAATTTGTACAACGCCCTGTGGCACAAAGTTTTGGCACGACAAAGGTATTGTGTTTGGCAGGCCGTTCTTTCCACTGGGCCACTGAATGAGGGACACGACAGCAAGATAGTCTTCTTGGAATTGGCACTTCGACTTTGGTTGCTGTGGACCCCCCTCAAAAAGTTGAACTTTTGGTGGGTTTAGTGGAAAACCCCTTGACTTCCCAAAAAGTTAAAGTCTGAAGATCCGTTACCCAATAGCCGTCAAGCGACGTGGCATCCAAAGTCTGCAGCTGCGCTGCGCCCAGGTGGACATTGCGTCGTTGCGAGAGTCACTTGGCGCGTGAGAGAGAGGGGGTTGCCTTGATGTATGCCAGTAGAGGTTCTGCTGCAAAACCCTGACGCCTTGTTTGTGGTTGCTCAGAAGGGGTGAGGTTGAAACCAGTTTTTGAGATCCGGTTCGAGAATTCAGCCATCAGCAACGATCGCGGTTGGACATATATTTCAATTGGTCAAGACCAAGCGTTCGAGAATTACAATCACATCAGCTCAACCTAGCCTTTCCTTTGAGGATGAAGCCACGCTGCCAGCTCCCAACCTACCTCCAGTACTTCGTTATAGTCGGTTTGCAAACTTGTAAGTTAAGGAGAGGCGCTCGGCACTTCTCACTTCCACCACCCCCCTCCCCCCAAGTAGACAAAATTGTGCGGTTGCCAACGCTTGGTTCAGAACCTCATCTAAGAGTTCGACCAGCACCTTTTGGCCTAGCACAGGGTCCACTTGGTACTTTCTACCCCTCGGAGGGGCAATTGCAGGTGGGCGTAGCTGATAATTCCAACCATACGTGAGAAAACAAATTACTATAATATATATATGTATATATACACGTTAGTTTGGACACATCTGGTATATGTTTCTTACGGTCAATGTGAGATAAGAATTGTTTCGAGCAAACCCCAGTGAAACCTGGCACGCTGGTTGTGCCCGCAGTTGATATAGCTCCCTTTCGCTACTGGTCTCATGTTGTAGTTGATATTAGATGAGCATGGTCCCGAGCCGCACGGACATCATTCGAGATTTGAGAGTGGCACCTCATGCATCTGCCAGGCTTCTCTTGAGTCAGCCAAAGTCGCAGTCAGAACCATCGCACGCTTTGCCTCCTCGCGAGTCGCGAGGCTCAGTGGCATTGAACTGCTTCTGAAGACGCGTGACGTTTGCGCTGAACTCAGTACGCCCACGACAAACACATTGGGCCGGGTCTGGATCTCACTTCCTCAGTTCATGGACTTGATGCTTTTTAGGAAAACCATTTTAGTGGTAAAAAAAAGTTTAGACTTCTTCAGGCCAATAGACTCAGGAAGTGAGAATATAGAAACTTCGAAATGAACATGGTTGTCAATACTTGGGAGTGTGATGACGGCGATTGACCCCTGCGTACTTTTGACATGCTATGAAAGCCTCCATGTAGTCAGACCCTGGTTGGCGAAATCCATTACGCGCAGGATGTCCGCATTCAGAAAGAACGTTTGGGATCCCCCCCAATCAGCATTTCTCAATCTCTTGAGGCGGTTCAAAGGTAATTCTTAATCCTTACCTTGGATTACGCAAGGAATCGGTCCCCTTTGTAGTGGCTTCCCTATATAATGGAGAATCGGATTGGCCAAGCCTCCATTTGGAACAGCCCAGTCTTTTAGGAGCTTCATCCGAAGTGACATGCGCTTGTGACAAACACACGCAAACAACAATGCATTTACCTCCATTTGCTTAAGAATATATTGTGTTTTCCCTTGTTGGTTTTACAAGGAATGTATCACTACTGGACATATTTTATCATTTTTCCTGGGGCCTTAACCAAATGGAGGTTTAAGAGTTCGTCAAGACATGTGTTAGCCCCCCTGGCAGTCCAAAAGCAGGTTCCCCGACTAAAATCGACTACAGACAAAAAGTTGGTACCTTCATTTTAATCTCTCTACTG